AGAGTTTCCCTCCATTTTCCTTCATTCTGTTTCAAGTGGCCTTAACAGCAGCATGTTCACTTTATAACAGAAAAAAACAATTCACTCTATTCCTTCACAATATTTTAATTAATTCCAGATTAGTTAATGGCGTGGAAGTAGGGAAAAATTGGCTGGCGCTTCCTGAGAGCATTGTATTAATTAAAATTTATAAGTCACAAGATGGTTAGATAATAGATGTAGAAAATATAAACACATTAATGATTTTTTTTTCCATTTTAAGTTCTACGCATTATAGTGAATATGTGATTTTATTTTTTAAGAGCAATTTAAATGTATTTCAATGGCATGTTTGCAGTCATAAAATAGAAGTTAATAATTTCATTGAAGGAGAAAATGTAACTTAAGGTACAAAAAATCATTACACCACCAAAATTTTATTTAGTCCAAAAATGTTGTAACGCTCTCTCTCACTTTATTAAACCAAATCTATCTTCTCCAACTTCTATCTGCTCATCTTGCTATAAACATAGGGGATACATAATCTGAGTGTTTCATCCGTAGTGTTCAACTGATAATCCATCCCACAAATATATTTGTATAATCAACTGGAGTTCTAGTCTTCATTATATCACCTTTAGGCCTTTTAATATTATAGCCATTCAATGTTTAATAGTATATTGCTGACCTATTCATGACTGAGTAAGAAAAAGTGATTAACTGAAATTCAACTGATTTGGGTTCTATTCTATGCTACTTTGCTATTTCTTTTGAAGTTCATTTGGTTCTTGTCTCTATAGGCCTTGTTTTTAATGGGAAAATGGATGCATATGACAAAAGACATCCTTCATCCCACATAATTTTTCTACTACTATAATTATTAATTCTTACACCCTCCTTTCTGGATACAAATTCTCCTTCCAATTTACTTTTCCACTATTCCTACTTTGATTATTCATTGATCTTAGGGGATCCCTTAGGAGATCTCTACTCTGTAGCTGGAGTTACCTTTTTGGAAAAAAAATCCAATTATGTCACCTTCCTGTTTATGACAATTAAATGGTTTCCTTCATTGCTCTCAGTATAAATCAAAGCTCCTAAGGTAATCTACAAAGGGATCATCTTGTCCCTCCATGTTTTCCAGCTCATGTTGTCCCCTACTTCACCTCCCTCTTTCTACGACAGCCACACTGGCCTTTCCTCTGCCCCTGGTCCTTGTCCTGCCCCTTCCAGCCATTCAGCCTGTACACATGAAGTTCCCTCTGCCTGGAATGCTCTTCCCTTCCTTTCTCACTTAGTTAAACTTATTTATCCTTCTGAATTTAGCTCAAGTGTCACTTCCTCAGAGATGACTTTGCTAATCACCCTAACTAGATCTAATTTCAAATTATAAACTCTCTTAGTACCATACTCCTCTCTGTTTTTGCATTTATAATTATAATTTCTTATCAAGTCATATAATTATTTATGTCTATGTTCCCTAGAACATAAATTCTCCTTTGTCTAAATTTACTCACCACCAAATCTTCACATAGGCATGCTGCAAATACTCTGTAAATATTCCTTAATTGAAAACACAATAAAGTTTCTTGAGTTTTCTCAATATGAAGACATTACAAAATCTTTACGGTATTTCCTATAATACACAAAATGTAATATAGTCATCAAAAATATAGGTGTAACTAGAGAAATTTTTTCAGAGTAGAATCATTCCCCATATCTGTTGTTCTTCAGCTTTATCTTCTTTTCTTTGATTTTACTTGTGATCTGAACATAGAAGCTTTGAAGATAAATGTGAATAGAATCCCTTAATAAGAATCTGCTCCCAGATTAACGAGAAATAATGCAATTTCTATTTCTTTAATATCATCATCTTACTGATCATTAGCGTTAATATGGATATTGTATACTAATACCAGAAAATTCAATATGTCTATGATTTTTTGTATCTCTGTTTTCTACTATTTTATTACCATAGATATTAGCAAATATTGCATTTCCCATAAGAAATATTCACTCTTAGAGTACTTATAATTTCATAGAAATATGGAAGATGGATCCTGATGGCAAGTTCATTTAAATCTACAAATATTATCTGCTTTGTAGGTAAAATTATTTTAAAGTGTTAGGTGAGTAATAGGAATGCAAAATAATCTTAATCTTTACAAGGCTGCTAACGTGAAATAGTAATGAGCACTGTACGAGGCTAACAATGCAAGAAAGGGAGCAGGGTTTTACAAATGACCTATGTTAGTCTCTTAGCAAAGGCATCCCCGGTCATCAGATCACACCTAGGCAGTTGAATCAATGCAGACTGTGGCCCTGCCAAGACTGTATGAGGGGACTGGAGAAAGACATAAACGGTGATCCAGTGCAAGCCTTGTTGCTAAGAAATGAGGCCCTCAGTCAAATAGTAAAATTTTAGAGTCAAAGAAGTATAAAATATTATTGAGTTCAAATCCATTATTATATACTGGGGGAAACCCAAGTTAAGAGGGGACAAGGCATTTGTCTAAGGCCACAGATCCAGTTGAAAGCACAGCCAAGAATGAAAGTTAGATCTCTTAGTGTACAGTTATTTCCAGCACGTTATGTTGCCTGATCACATAAATTGTCTCAGATTCTCTACAAAAAAGAACCTAAGCAATAAACCCCAGCTACAGATAACTTCAGTAACTGGAGAGCCCACAAACATTTCTGCAACAATACATATAGATCTTAATAGCTAGAAAATATTAATATAAAACAAGTAACTATTACGCTCTGTATACTTAGCATCCTTTAAATTTCTCAAATGCACATAAGAAACATTAACAAAACTTATTTCCTCAATAACAATGTTTCCGTGTCACTACATCTCTTTCCAGAGTTAAAAATGCCAATACAGACTGTTAGGTAATAATTTCTATTTATAAAATTCTGGCAATTCTTTGCAGAAATGGATATTAACACAGAAATTCATAGTATGGCACTCTATCAGTGGTGTGTTCGGAAACCAGATTTCCAATAAAAAATACAATTTAAAATAAAGCTCTGATTTGTAGGATATGCTGATTCTTGTGTTTCCAGCTACCAAGTTTGTAACAAATGACTCATAAAATTTTTGAATGTTTTACAATTGGCTCCAGGGTGCCAGTCAGAGGCAGCTCCAGCAGCCCAATGATACAACAAGGAAACCTAGAAATGACCAAACTCAACCCACTCTTTTAATAAAGAGGAAACTGAGGCTCAAAAGGAGAAAGTAATCTGCCTCAAGATCACTAATCTGCCTAAGATCATACAGTTGGTGAGCAGGTTTTAGTACTCAGGATTCACCTTAACCACACACACCAATTAAATGAAATATTATGCAATAGAAATAGTCAGTGCTCTCCGTGACTGTAGTGAGAGAAGTACTTCTCAAAAGACCAGCAGCCATCCCCAACACTCAAGAGCCTGTCAGAAATGCATATTTTGGAGTTCCACCCCAGAGCTAGTGAATCATAATATCTTGGGCCTAGAAATCTGTTTCAATAAGCTGTACAAGCGGTATAGAGCAATGGGAAGGAACCTTTCCTCATTATCCACCCATACTTTTTATGAATGAGATTTAAATACGAATCAAAGGTAATAGCTATTCTTATTGCATCAGCTTCCATTAAAAAGGAGCTACTTCATCTGAACTCCGTCAAAAAGCCTACAATCTTTCACATTTCCAAAGACCTTGCTTTTCAAAAAAGAATTTAGATTTTTTCCAACAACAACAAGAAAAATTTAAGTGACTTATCTTCAAGTTCTCAACCTTGATATCCTATAGAACAAAACCTAACATGTATTTGCCTGTCTTAGCTCTGGCATTTTTAACATTTTAAAAATAATTTCTTTTAAATAAGTATTTATCTTTCAAGGTTCTGCCTTGCCTCTTTCACAAATCAAGGCACCCCCACCCTAATCTATTTACTGCCTTGTTAAGTGATTATATGGTTATGTATGTGTTTTAGTTTATCTGCCACTTTCTGTTGTTTTGATATGTACTCCCAATCTTAAAATTCAGAACAAAGGCAAATAAATATTGTTAGCTTTATTTTCCTCTTTCAATATTTTGGAGGTTGGAAAATTTACAAAATAAATATCCTTACAACTTTCTTTCAAAAGCATTGCAAAAGAGAAAAAGAACAATTGAGTAATAGTTTCCTAAAATTTAAAAACACCCAGCTAAGGCACAATCCAATGACAAATATCTGTTTTGATATTACTTTGAAAATAATCAGTAGTAATCTAAAAAATATAGGTCTATGATTCTTAATTCATTACTCATTTTTAATTTTTTTTGTAAGGTAAACTTAAATATGTTTAATTTATTTGCACAGAAATAAGAAACGTAATGATGTAAGTGTTGGTAGATAATAGATTAACAGAAACATTTGTAGGAGATAATAATCATTGCCACACTTCCTAGCAAATATAAAACTACTTAGTGAGTGTGGTTCTTGGCTTTGGTGGGAGACAGCTTCACTGGACTTGGCAGTAGATATTTTCAAGGAAACTAGAGGATTAGCACTATACTTCTCAAATTACCTGGTCCTGGCTGAACCTACATTTACCAAACAGTGGCCAGAAAAAAACTTTGAAACACAAGAGGTAATCATCCTGAAATCTACCGCCTCTGAGTTTTTGAGATTCTTTTCATTAGTACTTCTCAAAAGCAGCTTTTTCTCATGAAATTTACCATAGACTCCACCAGACCATGGCTTGAGAGCACAACTTTGTCATTGGTCTTCATCTTTCAGGCCAATGTATGCAAATCAGACTGCACTTCCATGTATATCTGCTCAAGAACCTCCACTTCTACAGCAAAATTTAGACAAAGTCCACTCCCTAAGGCAAGCGACAATCAAATGTCAAATTTAAGTCCTTTTTGTAAAGAACAGTCTTCCTCACTGAGACACCCATGAATGGGTACATTGGGTACATTAACAGGTCCTGCCCATGTAGGTAAGAATGTGAGCTAGAAACAGCTCAGGGAGCAGAAGGACACTTACGGTTGGCACAGCTTGATTAGGTCCTGGTCAGTGGTGCCTGGTGGGAGGCCTCGAATGTACAGGTTGGTTTTACTCAACTGTTCCCCGCTGCTGTTGTTGCTGCTGTTGTTGCTGCTGCTGTTTGTGCTGGGGCTGGGAGGAGCCATGGGGTGGGGAGCTGGTGCATAGGACTGCTGGAAACAGAAAAAGCTGTTACTGGAAAAACAAAAGCCAGCACCTGCTCACAGGCCAGCAGCACAACTCGAAAACAATGTAAAGCTTCTTGTCCTCGCCAATACATGTACACACACACACACACACACACACACACATTTATATCAGTGTGCTGTGTTGCATATGAGACCATCATTTGCTTTTTCGCCCCCCCTGACCCTCCATTTTGATCAGCACAAGTCAGCCATAAATGGGACAAAAAGAAGTTATCAGGTGCTCTTGGTAATAGCATATGGCTTTTGAATTTGTCCCTAACCACAGTGACTCTCCTTAGATCTGTAAACGAGCATATCTCCCTGATAGAATAAAACAGTTCATTCTTGGCATCAAAGCTCTGCCCCTAGCTTACCTTTCATAGTCAAGCCTCTTTGGTTTGCCTCTCTACTCTTTGGTCCCTCCTTTTCTCCAAAGAAACTTCCTCACAGTGTTTTCCTCACCATTACTGTCCAGCACAATTCTGGATACACAGAAATCATTCTACAAAGAGTGATTCCATGAATGATTGAATGCATGAATCCATCTTAGCTCCTTCCTGCATCCTCAAAACTGCTTCTTCATGTTGAATGCCCCTTGTTTGCAAAACTGAGCCAGCATTCTCTCCTTACCGTCAAGATTCTCTTTAAATTACTCTAAACCAGGCTCACAACCTAGGCACTATGGACCACCGGGACAGGATAACTCTTTGCTGTTGTGGGCGCTGACCTATTCATTGTAGCATAGTCCTTACCACCACATTTTAGTAGCACCCATCCCCAATCGCAATGGCCAAAAACATATTAACATTGCCAAATGTTCCCTGGCGGCAAAATAGATCTCTCCCATTAGAGAACCACTGTTTTAATGGGTCACCCCATTATGCACCAAAATGATAATGATGAAATGACTCCCATAAAATTAGAATATACAATGTATGTTTATGATTATAAATGTCAGAATTAGAGTATATATTTACTCATTAGGCTTACTTCTTTTTGATACAGTCTTATCTTCAAAAATTCTCAACTTACACTGTAGGCCTGGGTTGGGTCCCTGCTGTGTCACTTATTAGCTATGTGACCTTTAAATGGTGCCTGAACCTCTCAGAGGCAGCATTCTCATCAATATAAAGAGGATAATAACAATGCTCTGCTTTGTTATAAGGCATTTTTAAAAACTTGAGTTAATGCAAACAAAATGGTTCCTGGAAATTAGAAAGTGCACAATAAATATTAGCAAGAATAACAATAATGTTAATATCTGTGGTTTGCATCTGTCTTGTCAACGATATTAGCCTATATAACTATTCCAGATTTTCTCAGTTGTAACCCTGAATGTTACCCAAAGGCACAATGAGCATATTCATCAAGATTCCATTGGCGATACTTTTGGCTGGGTCTAACTTGAAGACTTATCAGCTGTTTTATCAGGGTTGGGAGGTGTGTACTTATCCAAAAGCAGGTTTTGGGCACAATAGCAAAAAAGTATTTATGTATATGAGGTTAAACTATAAAACATTTTGTGCCATGGAACAAAGCTAAGAGATAATATGATACCTTAAGGGAAGAAAATGAAGAAAAACAATGTGCTCTGTGCCTCTACAGTCTCATTCTTAAAAAAAACAAAAACAAACAAACAAAACTTAAGAAACATAACCAACATGTAAATAGTACAGACTTTTCATTCCAAAATTGTGTGCTGCAGCCCAAATTGTCAGGCCTACTGGGTCCAGGTAAATAATGGGACATTCTGGAAATAGAGCTAACTGTGGCCTTAATCACAGAGAGCTGAACTCGTTAGATAGGATCCTGCAGTGGCTTCACACTGTACTTATTAAAAAGTCCTGAAACCCCTATAGGATTTTTTTTCTGACTTTTTCTCCAGTCACTTCTTGGGCCAGACCCAATTATACTCCTAACTTTCCACCCTTCCCAATCTCAGCCCAACTCTACTTGTTTGGCTCTAATCCATTCTTCTGATTTCAAATTAACTATCAACCTACAGCATTCTTTTATTTGCCTTCACACGTTTCAGCATACTTGGTCTTTATTAAACGTGCTTTTGGCTTACTTAATATCCATCCCTAGCATTAATCTGTATATTCTCTGAGAGCAGGGACTGTGTCAACCCTTACATGAATAGCACCCAGGCTAGTGCCTGATAACACAGGAGATGCTTAAAAAATATTTAGGCTACACTGTGTACAATAAAAATGGAATAAACACAGCATGTGACCTACAGAGACAAGAGCCCAAGTTTCAGCAGTACTCAGCCTAGTTTCTTGCTATAACAGTCTTTTTTACACGTTCCAGGATTTCGGATTTGTGCAATTCCTATTTCCGCCTGGCTCTACGACAATGCTTCTTAGATTCGATATATCAAAGTAAAACTCATTATAGTCGCAATTTCCCCCACCAACCACCCATCACAATTCCCCGATTTCTTTCAATGTTTTTGTCATTATTCGAGCCTTTACGCTAAGACACTTGGTGCTAGATTCGTCTGTTTCCTAGTCCTAAATCTCAGATGTGGTCAGCCACTGAGATCTCTGACAGGCTCCCAGAATCATCGTTTCCTCGGGATTCCCATTGTTTCCCTAAGCCAGAGTCGTACCTCTTCATATATAAAGGGTTTCAAGCTTTCTACCATGTTTCCCCATGTGTGCTTCTCATTCACTGCAGGGTGAGTAGGGGACAAGCCAGAATTACCCAATGCAAACACAAGCTGGCCGGGAATTAATGGATGGGAAAGTGAAAGAGCAGACAACGCCAGAGGCAAAACCCAGAGCCTCCAACTCCCTTCTTTGAAATAAACATTTTCTTGACCATTTCTTCAGTTTTATTACCTACTTTAGTCTCAACATTTTAACTTAGAATTTTAAAAATGAATTACACAGAAGAATACTTTCTTTTCCTAATATTTGAGTTAAATGGAATGCATTCATTGCCTTTTGGAATTTATTAATAATATCCACATAAAGCTCTTTGCAGGCATGAAAAGCTATGACTTCCTTCCAGACATAAACTATTCTGTTTCTCTCCTTGGAATCCCCACGACACTTAAGCTTTTCCTCTTTTACATGCCCTGCACACAGTAGGTGTTCAGTGCATACATGCTTACTTGCTGGAGTGGCTTCCTGGTCCCTCTATCTGACAATGGGTAAGAGGGAATTTCTCTTTTACTTTCCTTATGAGCTTTATTCTCTTAAAATTCCTAGAGCCTTTTTAAAGCTGTTAGCTACCACTTTCACCTCCCCACTCTTTGAATTTTTTGAATTCCATTCTGTATCAGCTTCTTTTAAAATGAGACTTTGTTTAAAGCAGTTTTCCCCATTGCATAGCCTTTAAAACCACCAGGGAGCCAGAAAAATGTCTCCAGCTTTATGTATCACAGATTAGATGGACCAGTTCAGACTGAGTCCTTGACTGATCAAATAAGAAAGCACCCGCTACGGGATGATCAATATGTGTTTACTTAATTCTTTTTTTCCCCCAGGGCTCTTTGTGAGCATTTCCATAACCAGAACACCATTTAGCAAATTGCATGATGCCTAAAACAATAAATGTGTCCTTCAAAGGACTCAAAAAATTCACTGCGGGGAAAAAAAATTAAACAAAATAATCAAAAGCAAACCAAAATTGGGATGAGAATAGGGAACTTGTGTGCATGAAAATGAGATAGGTAATTTATAAATAGGAGCAGAAACACAAGACTTATGGAGAAAGTGTGTATTTCAGAAGCCCTTTGGAAAAACATACACACTCAAGAGTGGTTTTATTGTGTCACAATCTTGCTTGTGAATTCTAGAAATTCTGCTGAAAGACGTATATTTTTCTCAGTGTTATTGAACGAATCAATCCACAGATTTTAGCACCCAGTGTGGGAACTCTTCCTAATCTTTAATATTTCATTTATCTGTTGATGATGCACTGAATGATTCAGGTAGCAGTCAACATTGTAAATCATTCCTTGGTCTTAAGAATTATAAATTCCTTCCTCTCCACCGATTTTCAAAATACACATCCTTTAATCAACAAAATGTTGGCAGAAGGTTTCCAGAATGCCTGACAAATGCACAGGCCTAAATGAATTAATTTGTGAAAAGCAGAAGTGATTTTGTATGCTCTGGCTGCCAAAGACAGATGACCAAACTGCAGCATATTAAAAAAAAAAAAAAAAAAAAGGAGTGTCAATAATCTCTAAGGGTTAATGGGTCACAGCACCCACTTTCCTGATTAAAGTGGCTCTCTGCTTCCTTTCTCAATTCTTTGACTTTAGATGGTTTGGAATTTTATCATTGATTAGCTTTTAAATCATTTTCAGACACCGAGGAAGGAATTTTAAAATGTTAGTAAAGAAAAATATTTTCCTTCAGATAAAACTGACTTAGCTATATTGCTCAAAGTCACACTGTATAAATCCTATTTAGGAGTAGGAAGTACTTACGATCTGGGGTTACTGAATGCTGTAACACTGTGCTATAACAGGGCAAGGGGTTGCTATGAATTTGCAATGTCAGCTTGGTTAGAAACAGTAGAACTAGCAGATTCTCAGAAGGGGGCTTCAGATGACACTCTGATTGAAGGAGAGAGATATAGGGCTTCTCTTGAAGCCACAGTTTCTTGGTTAGTATGCAGATTTTTCTTGGACGTTTATTCATGGTGGCATTGCTGGGAGGTTCTATTAGGGATTATGGAATACAGACTAGAGCCCCTTAACCACATGTCAGGGCTGCTAAATCAGGGGTTCAGGACCGGTGTCCTCTTTAGGAAAAGAAACAAAATGACTTGGAATCCATTTTGGAATATGCTTTTCCTAAAAAAGTAATTCTAATGATCATAGCTAACATTTGCTGTGTGCTTCCTAAGCACTTTAGCCCAATGAGGCAAATAGTATTCCTCTCATTTCACAAATGAGGAAACTAAGGCACAAGAAGGTAAATGACCTTTGCAAGGTCACACAGCTAGAGCCCCAGGGTTTTTTT